CAAAAGTGATATATTTCAAAACATGTTTGGCTGCTTCATAGTGTGGAATTCTTGGATCAGACATAAATTGGGACAAATGTTGTATAGAAAATGCCAAATTTGGTCGTGTATTAACAAGAAAATTGAGTTTTCCCACCAATTCCCTGTAAACTTCCGGAGATTCCATTAATTCACCTTGTCTCGATAAAAGTTTGTCATTTGCTGGTAAAGGACAAGTAGTTGTTCCTTTTGAATCAAATTATTTTATCACTTCTTGTGCATACTTTCTTTGAGTAAGAACAACACTAGCATCTGTGTATAGTACTTCAATGCCAAGAAAGAAGTTTAAAGATCCAAGATCTTTGATTTTAAATGTTGTGTCAAGAAATGCTTTTAATTGTATAATCTCCATTTCATGATTGCATGTGATCATGATATCATCAACGTACACAGCAACAAATGTGACATATGATCCTCAATGTTTGTAAAATAAGGAATAGTCATTTTCTGAAGATTTATACCTTTTATCCCTTAATGCAGATGACAACTTGGCATGTCATTGTCTTGATGCCTGTTTTAAGCCATAAAGAGACTTTTGTAATAAGCAAACTTGATTAGGGTTGGTCATTTTCAAACCAGGAGGTGGCTTCATATAGATTTCTTCATGCAAATCTCCATGAAGAAAAGCGTTGTTAACATCTAATTGATACATTGGCCAACTTTTCTTGACACCAGTAGTTATAAGTGCACGGATTGTGGTCATTTTTACCACTGGAGAGAAGGTTTCAATATAATCAATACCAGCTTTAACGTTCGATATTTTCCAAGGTATTATTATTATTATTATTATTATTATTCTTATTATTATTATTATTATTATTATTATTATTATTATTTAATTGTTTGGGTTAATTAATTGAATTGATTTGGGCTTGGATCCTTTCGGTCCTTATCATTGGGCTTAAGAGTGTCGTACGCGGGGCGTACCACTCTAAGTACGCGCAGCGTACTCATGAGAAATGGTCGTGGATGCCATGCGCGTAAGCGTGCAGTCCCCAAAACCCTAAAATTTAGGGTTGATCCCTATATAAAGAACATTATGCCCTAAAGCCCAGCCTCCATCTCACCCTTAAGCATCTTCCATGAAACCTTAATCCTTCCTTGTGTGTTCATGGAGCTTAGAAGGACATTTTGAGTGCATCTTAGTGTTTAGAAGGAAGGTGGCCATTGTTGAAGCATCATCAAAGGAGCAAAGGCTTATAGATCCAAAACCTTATCAACATTTGGCATTTCTTTAAGGTATAAAGCTTTGAACTTGGTGTTTATTGCTTAGATCTCTTGAAGTATGGGTTTGTGGACTCTTTTGGTCCCATTGATGAAGTCCCTTGAGTCCATGTCGTTTTTGGAACTTTGAGTTGCCATTCCTAGTGTTATTTGGGACCTAGAATCATAAAGCTGACATTTTGGGAGTTGAAATCCACCCATGCAAGAGTTAAGGCCACTTTCATGGAAGTAGAATGCCATTTTTGGATTTTGGGCTTAGTTGGGGCATGCAAAGCCACCAAGTCCGTGACTTTATGGGTTTAGACGTTAAGTAGGGCTCAGATCTGTGATATGGATCATTTGCTAGAAGCATTAAGTGCTTAATAGCAAAAAGGACTTAATAGAGGAGTACGTTGGGCGTACCATCTGGTACGCGTAACGTACAGGTTATGAACCCAGTACGCGTTGGACTTCGTTACTTTGGGCCACTCCTTGGACTTCGTTACTTTGGGCCTTAGTGGGTCATCAGAAACCAGATATTGGGCTAAGAACATATTTGGGATTTAGGGGAAGGCCCAATTGAGGGTTTTGGCCCAATATGAAAAATTAGGCCATTGGTGGGCCACTAATGGGCTTGGGAAAGCTGTCGAGTGACTGGGCCTTTGCGTATGGATTTGGGCCTTGGTCATGGACTAGTTAGGTCAGGAGTACAATGGTCTTTTCATCTCAAGCTTAGAATAAGGGATTTGACTGGGTGTTATTTTGTACTGATAGCTTGGGAGTCGTCAGCACAACCACTAGAGATTTCTTACCGAAAGATTCAACATTGAGGTGAGTTTCCTCATGTGTGAACGGGTTGAAGGCACCAATGCTGGCTCGTATGTATGTATATGTATGATTGTATGTTCCGGACTAAGGTTCGATGTCGGGCAGTGCCGATGAATGTTTATTTGTTCAGATTAAGTTCGGATGTCGGGCAGTGCCCGATGAATGTTTATTTGCTTTCCGGGCTACGGTTCGATGTCAGGCGATGTCCGAGGAATGTTTGTATGCTTGATTTCTCCGTGATTCTTGCATGTGTCTGTGTTTGTATGTTCCGGACAATGTCTGATGTCGGGCAGTTCCCGAGGAATGTTTGTATGCTTGTATTTTGTGACCATTATATGTGTGTTTGTTGATATGTTTATTACATACCGAGCTAAGCTCGATGCCGGGCGGGACCCAATGCCAGACACTGTCCGATGTCGGGCGGGGCTCGATGTCGGATCCAATCCGATGCCGGGCGGGGCCCATTATATGTGATTATGTGTATGGTATGTGGTAGTTTGGGGAAACTCACTAAGCTTCGTGCGTACGGTTTTCAATTTTGGTTTCAGTACTTCTAGTACTAAGAGAAGAGCTCGGGATGACTCCATTGCACACACCATGATGTTAGCATGGGATGTTTACTCTGATGTTTTTGATATGATACTCTGATTGTGATGTTTTGGATACTTTGACTCATGATTTGACGGGATGTTTTGATAACTATGGTTTTATTTAATAATTGAAAAGGAAATTTTTGGGACCATATTTTGTGTATGTTACACCAGCTTTCTGTGTGAATCCTTATACAACCAATCTACCTTTACACCTTTCAACTTCTCCATTTGCTTTGTACTTAATCTTATATACCCATTTGCAGCTAATAGGTTTCTTACCCTTTGGTAAGTCCACAATGGTCCAAGTTTGATTTGCTTAAAGAGCTGCAAATTCTTTGTCCATTGCTTCTTGCCACTTTGGTAATGCAGTTGCTTCTTCATACGAGGATGGTTCTTTGAATTTATCCAAATTGTAAATGAATTTCTTGCTGTCATCAGACTGAAACAAAGATGTGTTAGAGAAGAAACATGAGTAACTGTGTGCATGCAAGAAGCATAAGAAGGACTAGAAGTGTCACAGTTGTCACAAGAAGCACTACATACATAATCTTGAAGATGAATAGGAGGTTTTGAAGTTCTTGTTGATCTTCTGAGTGGAATATAATTTTGATTATGTTGTATTGGATTTTGAATTGGAGGTTGAAAATCATCATTCTGTGGTTGAGGAATCCGATTGATCATTCAAAACATTGATTTGAATGTATGGATGTAGGAATAGCATCTTCAAACCGGAACAAATTGTTTTTTGAAGAAAATATAGGTGCAAGGGTATTTCTGGAATTTTGAAGATTGTAAGGGAAAATTGTCTCATGAAATACCACGTCTCTAGAAATAACAATTTTCTGTTGTTCCATGTCATATAACTTGTATGCCTTCTTTCCATAAGGGTATCCAATGAAAACACAAGGTATTGACCTTGGTTGGAATTTGTCCCTGTGTGCTAGCATAACATGAGTAACCAAAAGTTTTACAACCAAAAGTTGTCCATGATCAAAAACTCGAACCATCAAACGGCTTCGTAACAAGTATAGGATGATCATCTGAAGGATGCAGATAAAGCAGATCAGATGAGTTAATCTGAGATGAATTTGCGATTTGAGTATAACCTGATTGAGAACCTTGATCCATGTTTGTAATTGAAGAATGAAGAACAGAAGAATGATTGGTGAACAATCACGCAATCAAAAAAAATGAAGAAAAGAAGTAAAATCAATTGATGAAGATTGAAATGAAAAACGATCTTGATTGATGAACAAAATCAATCAATATATAAAAAAAATCGAGATTGCGGAAAATTTCTTTACCTGATACCATGTTGATTATTGAAATGATGCGTAGAGAGAAAGCAAGAATTTGGTGATTGGGAAAATGATTCGTTAATTTACTCTGTAAAATACACTAGGAATATATACAAAATGAACGAAGGAATAATTGTTATCTAACAATCTTGTAACAAAATCACGAGCTACTCATGTGTTAACTAATAAAAAAATTCTAATTGTTCACTAACATACTAAAGATTCTGCCCCTCACGGAGTGAGGGACCACCCTCTAGTTAACCATTAAAGTTGTGTGAATTTTCCTCTTTATTTTCTATATAAATTTACTTTTCTATAAAACTATTTTTTTACAACTTACAACTTTGTTTCTTAAATTACGTTTTTAACAACTGTTTGCCAACCTTTTTTACATCCATTTTACAATGTTGTTTACCACTTAGCTTTTTTTTAATTAGTAAAAACAAATATATCAAAAAAATGAGCTTTTACATGTTTACAAACTTACATTCATCTTATGCACCCGTACAATTTTGACATTTTTAAATTATCTAAATATGTTATAAATTTTCTCATCTTATTTTATAAATAAAGGCTAATATGTAAAGATTAAAGGTTGAAAATACATGACTAAGTAGGTCTAGTTACAAGAATGGTAAATAAATAATTTAATTTTTTTAATCATATGGTTAATTAAACAAAAGTTTTTTTTTTTAAAGCGGGCAAATCTCAATTTATTGGTCCACATTTTCGCCGCCCCTACTAGCTATAGTGTTTAGACCAATTTGTCGGACAACCTTTAAGAATTTTTTTAATCACAATTTTTTTTTTCAGATTTATTAACTTATTAAATTAAAATCAAGATTAACATAGTTTTTGTGTGTATTGAACATACAAATTAGTTTACAACAAAATATCTTCAACCGCAACAAAGAAATAAAGACTATGGAAATGTAAAAAGTTAATATACAGATAACTTTGGATCCTTGATTCGCCATTGATTTTAATTATTATTATTGATAATTAAAAAAAAAAAAAAAAAAAAAAAAAAAAAAAAAAACATTTTGTTAAAACACTTAAATCCTCACATTAGCCAGGTGGCCATTTCATCTGTCTCCCACCAAGAACATGCAAGTGAAGATGGTAAACCGACTGACCTACACACACATTAATTAATTAATTAACACATTCAAAACGTTTGATTAGTAAAAGAGTAATATGCAAGAAAAAATAACATACTTTCATTTATTTTTTCTTCTTAAAGCAATTGAACTTTGAATTATCTAGAAACAAACAAGCTTTTTGGAATCACATAAAACAGAAATTACAACTTACATGCAGTAGCACCACTGTTGATGACTACACGAAATCCATCAATGATTCCTTCTTTTTCTGCTATTATTTTTGATGCGTGAAGAAGATGCCCTAATATATCTTCGTGTCTTGCTTCAGCCTTGATGATAGCAAAGAGGAAATTAATAAAATGACTATCTTGCCCTTACTTTTACATTTATTATCGATTTTACTATTCTTATTGATTTCATTTTTTTATTATTATAAGGTAAGCAAATGGAACCTTTTTATAAAAAAAAACCCGTTTTTTTTTTTTTTATATTTTGCAACGAGTTCATGAACTAAAAGCATGACAAAAAGACTTTTTAGGGATGAGAAAGGTTAAAAAAATTTAGGAACCATAAGTGTAAAATCAACAAAACACAGGGACTAAAAGTGTAATTTACCTTTCCAAGCTCTGTTAACCCATCTCTGAGCTTTGGGATTACTAAAACATGAACAGGTGCTTGAGGATTAATATCACGAAATGCAAGAACTTTTTCATCTTCATACACAATTGAAGAAGGGATCTCTTTTGAAATTATCTTGTCAAATCTAACAATAATCAAAATCTATAAAGTTATATGAAATATTCATCTTGTGAATAGAATGTGAAAATTATCTAAAAATCATAACCATAAAAGAATATATTAACTTATAATTTAGGAAGATTGGGGAAATTACATGGTTGGAGCTCCACTATTGGCTTCAGTTGCAGCTGCTTTAGCAGAAGCTTCTTCATCATGTGTTGCTCTCACACTAGATATGGCTCTAAAAGTACAAAAATAAGGAAACAATAAGATTAGTAAAGAATAAATAGAAAGAAACAATTCGACTAATTGAAGTAACAATATAATATAATTGGTAACAATATATGATTTTATCCTAAGGTTGATTTAACTTAGGTCTAGAACATAAATAACTTGTAAGATATTTCCAATTGATCCAAAAGCAATTATATGAGAGCTTGAATTAGTTCGACTCATCTGGCGCTGCAACACTCGATCATATATATATAATCTAATTCCCAAAAGATGAGTCTTGTTTCCAAAATTATGTAATGTAACCCAACTCAAAATTTGGGGGAAATGAAATGTTGTCATTTGTTTGATAATTACAAAAACCTATACTGTTATCAACCAAAAGTCGGACTGAAGTAGGAGTTGATTCATACCTGCGAGTACATTGGCGAGTAGAAAGATTGAAATTTGAGTGAATTAGACGAAAGGGATTCCGTTGCTTCAATGGATTCAAAGGGGCTAAAGCTCCGATGGTTACGGCACTCCTGAGTTCATAATTGTGCAGAGTGTCAGAAAGAGAATAGCCGAGAGAGAGAGAGAGAGAGAGAGAGAGAGAGAGGTTTTACCTTAGTAGAGAGGAGGTAAAGGCAGCCATGGATGAGAAGGTCAGCCACCACTATGATACCATATGTTGCTGCCCAATGTGTCCGATGAGAAATGTTAAAAACAGCAACCATTTTTCTTTTTCTTTACTATTTTAGTTTTATTATATAATTATATTAATTTTGGGTTCCCAATTCAAGAGTTAGTGCTTTTGATTTGACCAAACTTTTTTTGATTTTCTTTGTCTTTCTCATTAAATCTTTTTTTTTTACTTTTTCGTTTTGTGTCATTCCTTTGATAATTTCTTCCCTTTTCCGTTAGCGGTTTCCACGTTTTGTTCCTAATGGAACAGTTCTTCACTGCCATTGGTTAGAATTCTTTTTTTTTTATGTAGTTTCTGAATTTAATTTATATAATAGTTAAATTACAGATCATTGGTCGGTGGCTGGTACGTGTGATGTTCCTATCTATGAAAGGTTCTTATTTTTCCACGTTTCATTCACCGTTCATCTCCTCACCGCCTCCCATTCTCAATCACATACAGTTGCTTTCACCGCTTTCAATTTCTTCCTGGGTTACATGGTCAATGGTATCGGCTTCTACCTTCTCCAAAGTCTAAACCACCGCCTCACCGCACTCCAGACCACCATCTCCACCCTTCTAATTTACCGTCTCCACCGCTTCATTCCTTGGTCACCACCGATGCTTGGGACTGATCTATCTACCTTCTAGGGCTTATCTCTCTTGCAGATCCAAACCGGCTTATAGAAACCGTCGTTTTCCCCATCGACAAAGACGTCTTCTATTTTGCCTTAGGTATCTTATTCACATCCACTACTCTCATCTGATTACAATTCTTCAGCAATTCAGGTGACCGCCTTCTTTCACTTTTGTAGGATAACTCAATGGATTGTTCGTATTCAAGATCGATCTCAGCCTTCTCTCACTTCAATACCAAACCGACGAACTCAGTCAGGGCACGAAGATGATGTCGGGGTGTTATCTCAGTCGACGATTGCATCAAGTTATATGAAGTGTGGGTCTTGCACGCTCTTATCGCGAACGGTTGTTGTTGCTGCAATGGCTGACCATCGAACACAATTGTCATCAGGTAATTTGGATTTGGGGGGAGACGTGTGACATCCCCAATTTCACGGCCAGAAAAGACCGATTTGTTTATGCTTTGTTTTTAAAATCAGAGTA